CTACGCGGAGGAGAGCCTTCTCGGTAGTAGCTCCGAGCGGCATATAAATTTTATAAATAAACAAACAAACAAATAAATAAATAAATTTCGTTGTATGTATATATTAATATCTTGCCATACTTACGTTGGCATGCAGGCAGGCTTGCATTCCAGCTCCCATCTGCCTGGCATTGGCTGCTTGTTGGTCCTTCAAGAACAAACCTGGGTATAAAATACTCTCATGAGAGCGGTTCTGAAAATGGTTACATCATGCTTGTTAAACATCTTCTAATAACAATGCAGGGGCTCAGGCAATAACAGTACAGGTAGTCCTCGACTTACAACATTTACTTAGTGAATCATGACCGTTTCAGCATCCCCATGGTTACATGATCAAAATTCAGGGGCTTGGCAACTGGTTTATATTTATGACAACTGCACTATCCCAGGGTCATGGGATCACCATTTGCAACCTTCCAAGTCAGCTTCCAACAAGGAAGGTCCATGGGGGAAGCCAGAACCACATGATTCACTTAATAACTGCAGTGATTCATTTATCAATGGTGGCAAAAAGGGTCCTAAAATGAGGCTCAACTCATTTAATTATTGCCTTGCTTAGCCATGGACATTTTGGACTCGATTGTGATTGTAAGTCAAGGACTACCTGTAATGACTGGGAGCATTTATTGCATTCCACTTTAGCATATTTTGTTTGGTTTGGCTTCCTGTCTTATATAAATTCAGCCACCATGGTTTCCAAACCACGACTTGTGACTTATACTGATAAGTCAACCCAGCCACTTGGATTTATTCTGCAAAGTGAATGTAAAAGAAATCATGCCTTAACACACTATATGAACCTTTGCTAAATTGTTGGGGTTCTCTTTTAAACATCTGGAACAAATACCTTTAACTGAGTCCATGAGGAGATTTCTACGTTGTGGAAACCACAATCGAAGTCAAATGACTCAAACACCCCATTCACGAAAGGTCAAATGTAGTTCTCAAAATGATGCAAGCTGCTGCAAAGTCCATCTAACTCCACCCACATAGTTATGGATGGGGACAGTTTTGCTTCCCTACCTAGTTTTTAAAAATAAATAAATACGAGGGGAATATATTTAGACAAAAAAAGCAGGGGGGAGCCCTCTTAACTATTGACAGACTGCAGCAACTGAGTGACACCTGCTTCTTATCTGTCTGATCAATAGGGAAGAGATAAGTGATGTCCTATGGTCTTGGTGTAAGCAGGGGTGGGTTTCAACCGGTTCGCGGCAGTCCCTGCGAACCGGTTGGTCGCCGAACCCGGAAGTAAGTAACTTCCGGGAACGGCGAAGGGCCCGCCCGCCCGC